CAATCTTAGCTGATGTCGTCAAACCGGCTGTTTACCGGGATCCAATCAACCAGCAATGACTCAGCCTTGAAGCTTAGAATGATACCTACATCAGGTTGACCCATGAGTGTTGCATCGGCGTGTCCGGATGGGTGCAACCAATAACGGGAGGATAAGCTGGGTGTAGTTAATTCAACAACCCCATTAGGGTCATTTCTCCTAGTTTCGGCCACACAACACACACATCAATAACGTGTGTCCAAGGTGCGTGCGGGTTTATCCTGTTGAGCTATTTGTCTTAGAGTGCGAACGTTGAACGCCGCCATGAAAAGGGGACAACGTGGTTTTATAAGGGACTATTGCCGATAGACGTCCGATGGGCATTGTGGGAAGGTGGTTGCAGATAGTTTTATTCCAATAGCATTTCGTTTGCTGTCAATTAGGCTGGAAATTATGGAAAGAAGGTTAATAATGGGTCGGGATAGAAGTAAGAGAAACAGGTGGAAAAGGAAGAAGGGAGGCGCCAGCAGTAGCATGTTTTCGCTTACCCGCGCTGCTGTAGGCAGCAGATAAGGCGACCCTTGATAATCTGCGCGATGGTCGATGCAGGATGAAGTTTACGAATGAAGAAAAAGTCAATAGTACATGTGGGCTGAGATACTGTCAGGGCACCCAGACCTAGACAGGAGGACGAGTAAAGTCCTCAACTAATCCTTTGGCTCAAAAGCCTGTTCGCAAGGCAGCGGGGAGGTGGCAATGGTTTAGTTCTAAAGAAATGGGCACCATCCCATTTCAAACGCCCAACCTGGAGGAGCAGGAGACTGAGTTTGTCTGACCTCACACCATTGAACAACCTGGTAGGAGTAGCTCTCAAGAGGTCCAGAGGCACAAATCAATATAGCTAAATGGGTCAAGGAGGTACGCAAACAATCGTACCACGTTAAGGTCTAGTGTCGTTGCGTTCAGCCTACTAACAGCTTCGCGTCCGTTAAGGGAGGCATTGCGTCTATGGCCCTGGCTTTACCCGGATCCGGTTTCAACGCTTACGAACTCGACACATGTCCATGAAATACCACATCGGTTATGTGTAGCTCGACTTTCTCGCGCCTCAATCTGATTTGTCTTTCGCTGCAGCGTTGCAGAAAATGGTAGAGGTGACGATCATGTTCCTCAAGGGTAGCAACAAATACTAACATGGAATTCGCTACACAAAACACACCGGGTAGATCATCTAATGCTTGCATCAGTCGCTTCTGAAAAATCTCATAGGATATTTTCAAGCCAAAAGGCAAGCGAAGCCATCTAAAGCGTCCCAAAGGTGGTCAGATAGTTTGACTTTTCATCAAGTTCTACATGCCAGAATGCTGAAGCGAGATCGACCTTCGTGAAAACCTTCGCCTTGGATAATCCCGGTAGCATATTGTCTAGTGTCAGTAGGGTGTAATACTCTTCTGAGCTCGGCATTAAGCGAGTTCGGGTCGATGCACACGCGTATATCACCGGATTTCTTAGTTACGATCGCCATTTGGATAACCCAATCTGTCGGCTCATCAACCTTAGTTATGACGCTTAAAAGAGACAGACGCTGCAGTTCTTCTGGTGACTTTTCACGTAAAGCAATTGGCACTTTCCTGTCTGGCAACCCTACTGGTCTAGCCGATCCATTCAACGATAAATGAGCGAATCACTCGAATTTCCCAATAGCCCCATCAAATATGCTAGGGTAGCAATCAACAATGTCCGCGGTAGCCTGACACGAATGCACAAAACGTTCCGAATTAAAGGATACAAAACCAAGCTGCTGGATCGAAACAATGCGCAAGATGGGCGTAAGGTCTGCTGATACAATTAGGAATTTAAGCTGGTGTTTCATTCAGTTCTTCGGGTTGACAGCTGTCATGATGGCGCTCCCCTTTTGCCGTAATTGCGAGTTGTTCCACATTTTGAGACAAATCCGCGCTTCCCTGCGTTGTACACCGACACAATCTTTCTCCGGTAATAGGTTGACCGTGGTTCCTGAATCAAGTTAAAATCGAACCGGCCGTCCTTGGATCAATAGCTTCGTAAAGGCATTTCCAACCCGTATGATGTTCCACGTTATTGATCTTGATTTGTTATTATTGATTTGTTATTGATTTTCACTGTCTACTGACTTGATGTGGGTCGATCTACAACATTGGGCAAAATGGTTTTTATTGGCGCACTTCATGTAGGCTCGGCGCCAAGCTTGACAGTTTTGCTTTCGTTTTGGATGCCTGTGACCACAAAATTGGCAACTTGTCTATTGGTCATCCGCTGGTTGCGACGAGGACCCTTTGATCTTGGACAGGGTACAAAGCTCTGCTGTTACCTCCGTACGCAAATGCTGGAGTTGTTTAGTTGTAGTTATCTCGCTTAAGCAGATATCGACACATCGATCTAGGGATAGACTTTCTTGCCTAAGAAGGCGCCGTGATATCATCATTTCGTATACCGATAACGACGCGATCATGTATGAGGAACTCGCGAAGACAATTGCAAAAATTGAAAGTTCGTGCCATTAGCTTCAGCTCTGTAATTTATGTATCGGGAGATTCACCCGGTAAGCGGTGGCGAATAAAAAACATATCTTTGGTACGTCTCGTTTGAACGGCCTTCGCAATACTCGCCAAATTTTCTGATTATCTCCGATAGATCTGATTCCTGTTCATCCGTATCACTGAGGTCCAATGTCTCAAGCACGCGCCTCGCCATGGCGTGTCTGAACAGAGCCAGTTGGTACGGCATCGGATGGGTGTCCAACTATATCAGCGTTACGAAATCCATCCACCGATTTTCACAATCTCTAGTTATCCGGTAGCGAGCTTTCAGTCATTTGCAGAGCGGTCAGCAGTGGAATAGATGGCTGTTCAGCAACAGCGACTGCAGTCCGGCGTGTGGGCTTCTTCTCCTCTGTCACCACGTCAAGTGACCCGTGAAGCAAAAACTCAAAGAGGACCTCGATCAGAAATCTATTACTCATAGAGCACAAGCTCATTTTATATTCCGTTAATTAGGAGCACTCATAACTACAGAACACAACTCCTTGCTATTGCATTCTCGGCCACCGTTCGAGTTTCGCTCATGTCGATCTAAGTCGACAGCGTACTATCCTTTTAGTTCGCCTCATCTAAGGATCGATCATTTTTCAGTGTTGGCCCAAAATCGTTTGGCTCGATCGATGGCTAAACAATTGGCATCTAAGTGTGACATCTTACCACCATAGAAGGATGGGGTGCACGGTTCTCGTGGTCGTGCTAGGCACAGAGTGGTTTCATCCAGTGTGGAGCGGACTACGGGTCAGCCACCGTCTTGTGTGCACCTGATTCCCAAATACAGCGTGTCTGTGTTTGTCTATGAAGGAATGTGGGCCGGCCCAGTTGATGAAACGTGGCTCCCATCCACATGCCACCCGGTCTAATTCCTTCGGGTTTACACTGGATATGGGGTGTGTGGATGGAGCTGTGAGTGGTGCGGCGCAAACCACCTATGGTCCCTCTGGAAGCGCAGGCGTTCTGTGGCAGTCCTATGGAAGCCACAGTGACAGGCAAATCCGTATCCGGATGCCGCCAACCATGTCTATATGCAATACGGCCAATAATACAATTGGCATAGTGCCACAACGCATTGAAAACACAACTGACGGAAAGGACAAACCGTGTTTATGGAAACAGTGAGTCAAAACAAATCCACCACTGCGTGCGATTTCTTGTTATATCAGGGAATGTTTCCAGCCATGCGTGTCCCGGATCCTTCACACTCCAGCAAGGGAGCCGAGGGCGCCCGACCACAACTAAGTTTGAGGTTAGTTCCTTCATGCTCCTAAACAAAGTCACGTTGGTTATCTTGCTTTCGCTTACAGTCGACTTCTACGCGCGGGAAGAGGATACAGCGAGGTATGAGTAGGCATGCGAAGAACATGCCTAAGTCACTGAAATCTGCGCAGAAAAATTATGCTGCTCAGTGGCCGGCAGTCTGTCTGATATGAAAACCCACCGTCGAACATCTTACTTATTAGTGTGATGTTGCCATCGTACATCAGCAATGTTCCGAAGGCAGCGGTGATCAGAAACAGACAGCCTCTTAATATCCATTGTGCGAACAGGCCGCCTGAGAGCAAGAGAGCCGAACCGCTCTCGTTCTGGCATTGTAAACTCAGCCCTTTAGAGATAGGTTCAGATCACCTTGAGGCCAGAGATGGCGTTGGCAAAAGTAACCCGAGCCTGGGAGATGCGCAGAGACTTCACTTGTGGCCTGACCTGAGGTTGCACTGAGCCAAACACGAAGGCTGTCTCAGGCGATAGCCAGCTGACTCAGTACTAGAACACAAGATGGTTTGAGAGAAGGCATAAAGGTGAAGCCTGAAGCAAGGTGAAAAAATTTGTAGCTTTTGTTACATGAGAAAATCGCCACATAAATAGCCATCCGTCAATGATACCACAGACAGACTTGTGTCCGACAGGCATCCAAAATAAGGAAGAAATAAACGTTTCTCGGTTATTTATCGTAACGGACAAAATCTGCAGAAATTGCTCAAGCACAACCCCCAAAGTGTCACAGGTCACCAGACATTTCTAAGGAACTACCCACAGGGTGAACAGCCGAAACAAACAGACGGTCGTATGAAAGTGGGTTATAAGCATTTTTAGATTTGAAAATAACTTGCTACGTAAGGTTGTGAAGGCCTGTGAAGGCTGTAATAGGGCACTGCGGGAGTAAACGCCAAATCGAGCTCAGTGTCGCACAAGCGACAGAATAGTGTTCCGTAATGAATAATTTATATTGCTCATCGGACAGGTATTCGAATATTGTTAAAAAAAAATGTGGTACCGCGTCCCAGGACGTAGAGACACGCGGTCTGGGCCTCAATAGTTAAATGGAAATCTCCCTGCTAGGGAAAATTAAACGTATAAGAACGGAAAATCCTTCTAACTTCTCTATGAACGATGTGCGAAAGAAGAAAGGAAAAAGTCATCGATCAAAAATATCTACGGTGCAATTACCTTTCGGTATGCCTTCTTCAGATCTTCGTCTGGGGCTCCGCGAGGAACATTCAACGTGCGATATAGTGATTCGCCATGGGTACTAACAAATATAAACGCGAAATGCGAACTTACGAAAGTCTTCGGGGTGCGGAGCCCGGTGCCATTAGGCAAGATGCTAGCGGCTGCGACACTCATCTCAAGGTCACCTCCAGTAACCTTTTAAGGGCGAAATTCGTTAAGCGCCGATAATGGAAAATTCTTCTACCTGTAGGGCAAATAAATTGAGAAACCAGCAAGGTAAGGTTAATTGTACTCAATGCATTAGTAAACTGAAAGAAACCGTAAATTTGCTTTTCATTGTTCATTGAGTTCATTGAGTTGTACAGAGCAGGAGGGAAATCCCTTGTCAACTCCATCGATTCCGTACCATTCTGGGTTTGATACGTATCGTTGCATTAAGACGTTGCTCCGGGTTCGTCGCAATTGCAGCGACAACCGCAAGATTCCAGTATGCGCAGCGAATGTTTGTTTAGCAGTGCCTTGTAACTTTCCTCGGATGGCGCGTCTCCAACAACAGATTTGATTGCTTACGCTGGAGATCGACTTATGGCACAAATCATGATTTGCATTGCTTAGGCACAGTAAACGTCGGATAGTTGTCCATTGTCCAAGGCAGATTGTAACATACCGCGGTTGGGCAGTTTTAGATACAGCTGGCGGAGTTAACCGCAGTTTTCACAACTCTGTTCAGATCATCCTTAACAGTGACTTGGATTGGAGCCGCAAATAGGATAACACATTTGTTCAAGTTCAAGTTCAGTTGGGACCGGAACGATAGAATAATCCCGTGAATGTTCCTTCTTTTGCGTATCGTTGGGTTGGGAATTGACATGTCTGCTTGAGATGTTGAAAAGCCTAAAACAAAGACCGCATCACACCCTGTCCAACCAATTACTGCCCACATTTTCCTGCCCAGCAGTCCCTGCAGTCCCTGGTACTCCTCTCAACCAGTACAGAGTTAGTCGAAATAAACTTGACCGCGCTCATTGCTCGTTTGAACACATTCACCGCGATGACAGCTGGAACGTTGGACACCAAATATTGTGCACCCCATTGCCGTAACCAGAAAGCGGATTTAATGACCAGCTAGGTGGGTTAGATTCGTTGGTTTTGACGTGTCCGAGGTTTATAATTGGCGAATAGATTAATAATAGAAGGAGTTCTTGTCTTAGGCACACGGTTTGCAAGGTCGATTTATGAGGTCAGCTTGCTCTTAGTTGGGTCGAATTTCGTTTCTTCACGCTTTGGTGGGCCATAATACAACTGGTCAGCTCAGGTGCACTGCGCATTTAGACGCAATTTGCCCCTACTAACCTCAAGACTGTTGCGTCATCAGTACTTTGATTAAACAGAGTCGAGTATTTGATGGAACGTTTGTACAGTTGCTATACCTGAAAAGAATTTGCTGCAATGCGGAAGACTGCAGCGCTCGCTCGCTTGAATTCATCCACCCATATTCCGATGAGTAGTATATTTTTGCTAAGTATTATGTGCAGCCGAGTGTCCCCACGGGAACCCCTTCGACATTTGACCGCTTCAGGTGGCAGAAGATCTTAGTGTTTCTAAATTAGATGTAAACAACCTAACTATTTCGGGTGAGTTGCTCGCCGTGGTCTCGCCTCTGGTAACTTTCGCTCCAGTTGTTACCGTATCGTTAGACACAAAATAATTCATATGTCTACGTAACAATTCACCCTGAGTGATGGGTACGTTGGACTACTGCACATCGAACTTAACTCTGTCGTTCGTGTATCATGTTCCTATAAGTGAACGCTCGCCCAAAAATGACCAACTTCATTGCTGTGGCCCTAAGTATAACTTGCGCAGCACGGTAGCAATTCACAACACGTCACATGTTGTCATATTGGTGGGTAGATTTGAATTTATTTTAGCACTTCATCAGATGTTTACCGCGAATTTACTTTTTATTTTCTAATTCGCTCAATCTCCAGAAACTTTACTGCATTTCCATTTACTTCATTGTTCATGCGACAGAGCGCCACTACGGCGGTATCATCATGGACATGGAACCCAGCGGTACTAAACGTCACGGTTCTTTCTACAGAGTCTGATTGCTGTGACGCTTCAACATGGGTTATTTCTGTCAGGCTTAGGAATGGCCTGTACCTAAAGCAGGACATCATGTGTAATCCACGCTCAAGGTCGTTTTATTCGGAGCCAGAATGAGCCGACTCAGGACAATGGGTTAGATGGTCTCTTGTTGTCCAAGTTTGTTTAATACGGTTGTCAAGTAGCAACTTGCTGCTTTTCCTATGTTCGAAGGAGTTGTCTACGACTTTTCCTCTTAGTCCATTGAGACGACCTGTACAACCGTGTAGGTGCTTTTATGTAGGCGAACCATCCCTTCACTTCTCCTATAGAAAGCTACTTGCTTTATCCAGCCTTTTGGAATTCTGCGTCTTAATAATCGCTAGATCAAGCACTTTTCTTATCGAGCAAGGCTTTTGTATCATTTGCTTATTTAGCTAGTTATCACACCTTGACGTCCATCGTCTGAGCTATATAAACCACAAATGCGGGAGGCGGTTGGGTTGATAAAGTCCGCGGAGATGGATGTATTTTCTGAGGTTTGCTGCTGGGTAGCGCTGGACGTAGCCAGCTCGTCTTGGCGGCCTGGCCTGGCAGTCTTGGCCGTCGCTAAGGTTAATTCAACAAAGGAGCGCGACCGGATGACTTCTTAGTAGTACTGGAATTTGCGGGCCAAACGCTCAGTATCCAAGACTAACAGCGCTGGGTACTGGTTGCTAATGGCTCTATTCTTCCGCCTTGTTCAATTTAGTAGGTTGCGTACCAGGCCGCATGCATTCATCAATGTCTTCCTAATGTTGAGGAGTTTAATGCGGTCTGGCACGTTATAAGCGACTACCTTGGTTAAGCAGTTTATCCATCCCAAGAACTAGGTATTACTTGCATTGAGGAACCACCCGGCACTCCGTGCATACGTATCACCCATCATGTTCCCGGGTTGAACCAGGCTTGTAATAGCCACTAAACGCTCGCTGGATGTCTACAAGCCATTATAAGTCAGTTTCACATTCGCTACCTCTTCTTGCAGTTCCGCTCTCTCAAATCGCATAGATAAATACGTCCACCACCTGAACGAAGCATGGCACAATCGTGCCAGTTGCATTTTTCCAGCATTTTTGTTTATTTTGTTTACACTAGGGTAAGTCGATTTATCTTCCTTAACCATGGTCTTTTGAAACAATCGTGCGAGGCTGGCCTCAAGGTAGCATAATAGCAAAGAAGAAGTAACGAATAAATAGAGCGTTAGGATCACTGCACTGCTGGATTGTCAGCAAGCTAACGTATAGCAGATTAGGCTAACAGATTTGGTGGTAGGTTAGTTGAGATCTTTACTAGAAATACAGAGCTGCATAACCCACAAGTTTGCTAGCAGTTGGGAGCCAAACGAACAAACCTGCCATAGTGACCTTGAACCTAATCAGGTTTTCTGCTACACAACACCGGGTGGAAATCGGAAAATAGTTAGCCATAAGGGTTAACAAGCTTTTCGCGTGCATGCTATTCTGTATTCCACATAATCCCCAGATAACGTCATCATCGATTAAACATAAAAGTGTTACCAATTGTGTCTCGGAATGTGTCTGCGAATACCATCGTGCAGTGCCGGGCATTACAGTATCTTATTGTTCTGTACACGCCTACCTGCTTACCACAATCGCATACTTCTACCACACACCGCAATGGTCCAAAGCTTTATGCACATCATCAGATTATCAGTTTCCATTCAAATACGTCACGTTTCAATTGTAAGTTTTCCATGTAAGTTACCCCGCCACAAAACTGTAGGCTCCAAATATTGCTTACTTTCCATTTTAGAGCCATTGACCTTCCAAGGTTACAATGTGGTCAAGCGTCTTGTCTCTGCAGGTTTGCTGATCATTGTGCGTAGTGCCTGGCTTAGCGAGGTAGGTGCATATGCCCAACTACCATCCGTGCGTCGTACCCACAACTGTGCAGCGGTAAAAAATCACACTATACACGTTGTCGATGGGCGAACACTACTGCTATCCGCATCGTTGGTCTCAATCCTCCGCGTTAGTAAGCGCGGATCATACTTGAAGCTCACACGTCTATCGAAGAGCGGCAGGCAAACCTACACAGATGATACCATTCCCAAGTGAACCTCTGCTAAGTGTTTAGTAAAGGTAGGGTTTTTCCACTTTTCCCACGCAGACGCCGGCTTGTCCAGTCCAGCTTCGTAGGCGTGGAGGCCATGCGCCCCAACAAATCAAAGAGGACGGTTCAAGCGAAAGACGCAGGTGTTCCCATTGGTATTTGTCCCCAAGTCCAGGGCCAACAACAGGCAACAGTAAGTATTTCATCCATACTATCCTATAGTGACCAGTGGTCACACCGGCTGCTAGTGTTTTCGATCCACCATCCAAGGTCGACGTTCTGAACAAACTGAAAGTGATGAAAAGTATGAAGTAACACAAGCATATCATTGCCCTCCTCTCTGTTTCTAGACGAATTGATATTACTTAAATAAATAAATAAATAAATAAATTTTTTATTCTCGACAACGCGAGGCGCGCCGTTACAGGCATGATCATTATGACAACAATGCGTGGTTTGAATGTGCAAGAATACATTATGTTTGCCGTACCAGTGTATGCTTATGTAGGGGGTATGTAACTATGTAACTGTGTGTGTGTGTGGGTGTGTCACTGTGAGGTTCCTTTTTGTAACTGTGCTGCTCTAACTTTGACTCTCATATCGTCGGCAATGCGCGAGTAGAAAATGGATGTCCGTGCGTTGGAAAGGATTATTCGGATACCCACGGGGCAGTGACTTTATTTTGTGGCGAGTCACGACCGCCACGTCACAGCGTTGTTAAGCAGACATTTGTGGCTTTTTATAGGGAGAACGCTTGCCAGGCGAAAACCCACCACGTCCTGGAACACTGCCGCCGAACTATTTGCTGGAACAGGTCAAACCCGAACCACCCAGCTGGCACCACGAGGAGGTTGTTCTGCTAGCCAGCCAATGGTCGGTCAGTGCCGTACGTCCGAGGACAGGTTGCAGCTGCTGCTGCAACGGCTTTCTCAAAGTAGGGCACCGAGAATTGCTCTGTCAGGTTAGTCTCGCAGTGAACTTAATACAT